ATTGTGCCCCTGAAGGCTCCCCAGCTACATTAGCCAGCTGCCTTCTTTTGGATTAATTACTACATTTTGGCATAATTCTGTGGACCAAGATGAGGAGAGAAAATACATTCTGCGAGGTTTTAGCCACAATTTGGATGTTGCATTGTGTCTGAGATTTCACAGAAGTGAGCAGTTCAGCCCCTTGCTAAGATGTTGCAGCTTAAAATACCCCATGTCTTACAAGTCCTACATTTTTCATATTCCTAAAGCCAGCCATCTGAAAGCCAGAAGCAGTGTTTCTCCATTGAGTGTTGGCACAAAGAGCAAAGATATATAGCTATCCCATATCTAACACAGGAAACGTTATGTAGGAATTGTCCATACAAGGCACGTGGGACGTGCCAGGTTTGCACCACATACAAAAAATGCACTTGGGAATCACGTTATCTCCATGACAACTGCTTGTACATATTAACAATTTGCTGTGTACTTAAACATAGCTTATGGAAAGGACTGAATAATAGGAGTTTCTCCAAAGAAAGCACTTTTAACACAGGCTGTTCAGATCAGAGCGTTACATCAGCAATCAGCAAGCCTAAAGCCTCCCAGCAAGAGCTGAGCAGGACATTTCACAGATGCTTATGTTATCTGTTTAAAAGGAAGGAATTTAAGGATGGGCCAAAATATCTATTGAACTGGTGTCTCTACTCTCGACTCTCAATGCTTCTGTCATGTTTGGAAAGTGAGTTAATTTCAGTATCTGTTTCCTCATCGGGCTGAAATCATGTATTTGCCCATCTGGCAATAAAGAGATAGCATTTGTCCTGGCAGAGGTGGTGTTTGTCAAGTATTCTAGGGATTAAAACTGGTAGATGATAGGTAGGAGGAACGTGGTTGGCATGCTCTGGTGCACAAGGATGTACCCACTGCCCCAGTAGTCCTACCCAGCCAGGCTGGACATAGGGAGTTCAGTCCCATGCTCAGGGGGAGAGAGCAGGACAAAATATTTGCAAAATATTAAGCTCCTTACATTGGAGAATCAGTACTCTATTCTTAGCTTTTAAAAGACTCTTGACTATGAAATATCTGTAACCATAGTGATTTAAAAATGTGATTTTCATGGTTACTCTGCAATTTCTTCTTTCAGTAAGACACTGCACTTCCTGTTTTATCTACAACACGGGGCAGATTTCAGTAATATGTTTGTGGTATACAAGGTGATTAATAATAAGATTCCATCTTTTACATAAACCGTTCAGTTGAAGTGAATGGGCCTCTGTTGATAGTGGTATTACTGATGTCACTGATTTTGTCATGTACTATCTGGACTCTGAAATCAGTCAAATACACAGAAATAGTATTTGTGGTGATGTAACATATCTGTTGTAAATGTGTTCTGTTTTTCTTTCGGTCTTTTGCAATGGTTCTACTTAAGCTGACAGGCTTATCTGATTTAATGGGACTTTTAAGACACAAAATATATATTTTGCCCAGTAGTGACCAGTATCTGAATATGCAAGAGATTACATGATGTGTACTTCTGAATTTATTCGATCAGAAATCCCTTTCCTCATACAGGCAGTTGACTTCCACATTAATGTACTAGTGTCTATATTCTTTGCTTGCAGAAATACACATATTAATCAAAGTTGGCAGCCCTACTTCTAAAGGTGGCAGCTCATTGTTACACTATTATATAGTCTTTAAATTGTATAGTATAGTCTTTATATTGTATTGCATAGCCCTTTAATTCTGCATTTAGTATTAAAACACCATAGCAACAGACATTTTGGACATGCATTGATGGATAATTTAGAACCACTAAAATATTCACAGACAGTTAAGTGTGAAGAAAACTAATTTACGTGTTCCTTGCTCTACAATGCTAAGTTGATATTAGGTTGTATAGTTGGATGGTGTGGTATAAATCTGCATAAATCTTCATTTAAACACTGATGTCTCAGTACAATAGAAATGTTGGTGTTACTGATAAGATTATTGCAGTTGCTAACACCCTCGTCCATGAGTTTGACATTAATTTCAGAATAGTACAGAATTAGTTGGCACTATAGGCTAACAGCTGAATAACCTACAGTTGGATGTGTATAAACATAAGTGCAGCAAGCCTGACCAGTTCACCTCTCTCCAGAATGCCACACATGTGACACATGGGTCGCTGACTCAGGTGTCAGCACAGCAGTGTGGCCTCCACACCTCTGACGCACAAGGGCAGCCACACCCAGACAGCTCCTTAAGTAAAAACCATACACACATCTGGCATATATTCACATACTAAACACAATTTATTACTGCCATCTCACAGGTTACAGTTTAATCTTACTGTGTATCTGAAGCCCTGTCAAACACCGAACTTATGCAACACAGCATATATCCTTTCATTATTACATCCTCCTTTGAAGGCTCGGATAAATATTTAAGAAGACAAAAGCAACTGTGATTCTCTAAACTATTGATTGTCATTCTAAAGTCAGAGGGAGGAAGGAGATCTGATTTCTGATCCACATATAGACAATTCAAAAGAGTACGAGGATCAAACATAGAGCTAATGCTTGGAATGGAGATGGAAACCAAAGTTTTCCCCTTCTCTGTGAGTGTCCAGATAAATCCTGAATTTCCTTTGCAGAGTCCTGAAATCTCCTATAGTGAGTGACACGACTTCAGCTTTCAGCAGCAAGCAGGGAGTGGTGAATCACCTACACCTTCCCCAGTGGAGTTTGTCTGAAAAAGAGCTATGACTGAGTCTTTTCAAGTGTTTCTTTCTTTTTTTAGAAAGTGTTTCTTTCTTTACCACTACGCTCCTGGGAATTAACGGTGGGGTTGGGAACCATAACAATTGCTCTGAAGACAGCAGGGATTGTTAATCTGTGAAGTGTCCAGTCTGATCCACATTAACAGGAAGAAACTATTAACCTGGCTTGTTTGCCTACAAAACTGCAACTGAAATCCTGCCATGTTATATCTGGAAGGTGTGAGATGTACAGCTTGTGTAGATGGTTTGCAGTGTGATCCTCAAACATGTAACTATGCCAGGAAATCAACAGTTACTAAAGAAAATGAACTTTAGCTTGGCGAATTACACATTTTTTGCATATATTTGCTCAAGACAATTTTGGGAAGACGTGCTAGAGTGAATTCTTGAACCTTATCACTTCTCAGTGAATGGTATTTTTCCTTCTACAACTTTTAAGCACAAAACTAAGGTCATCTGAATACGGGAACCTATGTAAGAATGGCAAAATTATTTTGGAAGATAAACAAAACCTAAGTCAGGCAATTCAAACCAACTGACGCCTAGCAGAAGAGTATGACAGCAAGAAACCAAGATTGACCCATGAAAGCAAACATTCCTTACCCCTTGCTCACTATGGAATTTTTAATATCCTTCAATACTAGGCAAATAATTTAACAAGTCAGACCCTGTATTAGGCAAGTGATAACCAAGACAATGAACACAAATTAACTAGGAAAAGTCATTCTGCCCTCTTGAAATTAACAAATGAATATTTTATCAACATTTTGACCCATTTAAGTAAAAAAATCTTACTTTTTAAAACTGATCATTTCATGCCTTTTGTAAGTTATTTAAGGGAAATCTTCCTCTATAATTTAAGATGCAGATTGCAATAAAATAAATAATTCATTAGAAATTGGTTCTGAATATTTCTGATATTTTTTTACTGCAACTTACCTGTGTCTAACTGACGGATTTTCCCTTAGGTAGCATCTGAGTACAACAAGGTAGCTGAGGTCAGCACTAGTTTCCTGAAAAAATACTACCTTTCCTGAAAGTTTCCTGAAAGGTCCACCACTAATTTCCTTTACTGAACACTTACACTGCACTTCATGCATTACTTCTGTCTAAAAGTGTCATAATAAACTCTGGACTTCCAAGAACTCTTTCAGTACAAATTGTTTTAAAGAAATGCATCACAGACTTTTTAACCTAAGCACTACCAGATGGTACAATTTAGATGGTATTTAATGCTCATGATTTAGAACTGAAAAGCTTTATTTTAAAGTACCCAACACCACTTCTCTCTTCTCTGACAGACACATTAACTGGCTCAGGACCTCAACATCACAGAATTGTTCGGGTTAGAACAGACCTATGGAGATCACCCAGTCCGACCCATCGGCCAGGGCCATGTCACCTGGAGCAGATGACACAGGAACGTGTCCAGGGGGGTTTTGAAAGTCTCCAGAAAGGAAGACTCTACGCCCTCCCTTGGCAGCCTCCTCCAGTGCTCTGCTACTCACAACGTAAAATTCTTTCTCGTACGGAGGTGGAACGTTTTGTGTTTTAGTTTAGGACGAGTACTCCTCGTCCTGTCACTGCAAAGACCTTCGCACCAGTCTCTTGCACCCGCCTCGGAGACACCTATAGGAATTAATTGCAGGGAGAACCACAAACATTGCGGAGCTGCACAAAGCCTTCGGAAACATCGCCTCCTCGCCCCACAGCAGGAGCTTAGCAGGCGAAGACCCCACCCAACCTGTGCCCCGCGAAAAGCCGGCGCTCAGCCCCTGGGCACAGAAGGGGCCGGCACAGCCGGCGACCCCTCACAGCAGTACCCTGGCTCCCACCTCAGGGCTGTGACTGGGCGAGGCTGCGCTGCGCCCCTCAAATGGACCCCCCCACGGGGAGAACGCCAGCCCCCGGGAGCCCGAGCCCGAGCCCGGGACCGGGACCGGGACCGGGACCGGGACCGGGACCGGGACGGAGCACAGCCACCCCCCCCACTCCGGGGCGGCTGTGCACGCGGTCACTGCTCTCACCCGCCCCCTCCCCTCAGAGCGCACTCGCAGCCCCGCCCGAGGGCCGCGCATGCGTTGTCGGCTCCCGCGGCGTCGCCCCCTCCCCGCGGTGGGGCGGTGACGTCAGCAGCGGCGGCCATTACACGGTGCGGAGCGAGGAGCGGCAGCGCTGCCGCAGCTGGAGTGCCCTGGGCTGCTGTCTCCGCGCGTCCGTCCGCCCTGACGTGTTGCGGCCGCCACCGCTGTGGGGAGCGCGGATCGCAGGGGCCCGCGGGGCGGTGCGGCGGCAGCAGCAGCAGCCGGTGAGGAGGAGGGTGGGGAGACCGGGATGGAGGAGAAGGTCTTCACTAAGGAGCTCGACCAGTGGGTGGAGCAGCTCAACGAGTGCAAGCAGCTGTCCGAGGGGCAGGTGAAGAGCCTCTGTGAGAAGGTGAGAAGTGAGGGGAGGCGGTAGGGCAGGGAGCTGCGGTCGGGGGCGGTGCCGCTCAGCCGGGCGGGCGCGGGGCCCTCGGGCGGGCCGGGGGCTTGGCGCGGCCGGGCGGTGGGAGCGGGCCGGGTGAACCGCGGCCCCTCGACTGTACTGGAGCCTCGGCTCCGCCTCCCGCCTGCTCAGCGCCTCCTAAAATGGCGCCGCGACCGCGGTGGATGCTTGGGAGAGACCCCCGAGAGACCCTCCCCTCCCCCGGTTGAAATGCCAAATCAACCCCCAGAAGCGTGAGTTATTACAATGAAAATAAAAGCTTATGGTAAGCGCTCGGTAATTACACGCGGTAAGGAGCTGCTGCTTTGATTTTTTAGAAATTTTTTTTCACATTATATGAATAAGCAGACGCTTATAACTAATTGAAGGGTAAATTAGCTTTGGGGTTTTATTTTTCTTCAGTAAGGTTCTGGGTTTCACGGAATTCGCGGAAAAAACATTCGAGATCCTATATAACTCCGTAGTTTTATGGTGATGGTTTGAAAATGTTGAGACGTGGATGTTACAGAGCAATGTGTTGATTGAGTCATTCATAGCTTGGAAAGGTAGACTTTGTGCAATCCAAAACAGATTGCGTTCTGGAAAATCAGGAAAATTTTGTTCTGCTAGCATCCGGAGGCATTTTCCAGTTGAAGTCTAATTCTGGATGTAATTTAATAGCTGAGGGTTGTTGTTGGTGTTTTGTTTGTTAGTTTGTTTTAAAATTACTGATAGTTTTATGTATTCCTGTATTTCTAGACTGAAAGATAGAATATTTGTGAATTTTTTGGTAACTGGATATTAAGGAATAAATGAAGTTAGGGATGTACTGGCTTCTAAAGAAGCTTATGTGCTTGCCACAGGAAGTACCGAGAATATTTTAAAATTATAATCATGCTTTCAAATACTTCATCAAGTTGCTTTGGACGCAAATTCTTTCGAGAGGGCTGTCTATGAACTTAATAAAAAGTTTGCAGTGCTTTTGGCCAGACCTGCTCTTGTTCCAGTACAAATTTTAGTTCACTTGTATTCCAGCAATTCAACACTATTTCCATTTCATCTGGACTGTGTATTTTAAAGGGTATTGCAAGCGAGTGGCAGTCTCACTGCCTGGCTGTTTCCATGTGAGTTTCCAATGACAGTGGTCCAGCTTCTTCTTTGTCTTGCTTTATGTGAGAGGCAAGTATTTCATTTGCCATCATTTATAAACAGATGGGTCTGGGTCCTGAATCCCAGGATGTACCCAGAGTAGTGCACCCATTTATGGGTTATATGGTAACTAGTAGGACAGTGAGGGATGTATAATGTACAAAAAGCTTTCAGTGTACTGGGGGTTTTGGTTCAGTGAGAAGTAGGCATGTCACTAGAAATTCCTTACAGAAGATACAGTAGTCCCAGTCATCAGTGTTGCACAAAACGACATTTTTGTTTTCTCTCAGTGAAGAATAGAAATCGGCTGTATTTATGGATAAATGTGTAATGCTCATCACCAAGATAATGGTAAAGGAGAAAATTAAACTTTGTGTCTGACTCCTGTATATTGAGATGAGAGACCATGAGAATGTGGAAGAGAAATCTGCCAATCACAGTATTATTTAGCAGCAGTCTTCATTATGTTGGCTGGGTTGTGTGTGCCAGGTGAGTGGTCAGCATTGTGCAGAGTCCAGCCACAGGTGATGTTAGAGAAAGTTGATTTGTTGCTGATAACAACAGGTGGATTTACTTGGACTTTCCAAGAGTAGTTAAGTTACTTCATGGTTGCTGATACAAGGAATTGGAAGTATGCCCTGAGGCTTGGAGTAGGTCTGAGTTTCCCATCTTCTTTCTACTGTGTTCATGGAAGTGGGGTGAGAACTCAGTTCTGCACCTTCCTGCTGAGGGACAGCACTTGCTTTAACGTGTTTCCATGTTCCCAGCACTGACTTTCAGAAACCTGACTGGGTTGTACTTTGTTTGGACTGTTTAAATAGTTACGTGGATGTAATCCCATCAAAAGGCTGTTTATCTATTAATAGCTTAAGGATAGTGTTCCAAAGGATAGATAAAGACCATACTAGGTATAAACTGTTGTTCTTCACTACGTTGAATTGCAGCTAGGGCTAGTTAAAACAAACAATTAAAAAAAAAATTGAGGGCTTTTTCTTGCTAACACTGTTTGGTTGGATCATTTCCTTGATGAGTATTTCTTCATCTGCTGGGGCTTCGTGTGTGCAGGACTTACGCCTGTCTAATAAGAATAAGCCTAAGGGCTCTCTTGTATTTCAGTATTGATACTTGAAGAACATAGCAGCTTTTTACAAACGTGATAATTGTGCGGCTGTTTGTGCATCCCAGTTTCTTTCTTGGTGTGTCTTTCGCTGAGCCTGGTTTCCTGGGTGATGGTGGTGGTGGGAACTGGGCAGAAACATTTTCGAAGTCTAGAAGTAATTTGTAACCATGAATAATACATTATTCTTTCACAAATTATTTGAAATAATCAACCTCTGAGTGACAGTTAACTTAGTCTAGGCTTAGGACGTGCTGTGTGTTTAGTGTTATATCAGTTGATTGACCGATTATGTGTGCTTTGCTTCAGCATTTGAGAAGTGCAAGTGGTCAAAATATACCCAGTCCAGTTACTGTTACATTTCAGCAGTGTTTGTCCCGTTAGTGCTGAATTGTTTATTGGCGGAGGTGAAAGGAAGGTCTTTATTGCCAGGTGAAAGTTTTTCCACTGGCCATTTTGAATAAAGGGTACTGGTTTAGAGTTTCTTTCCCATACATTTTGAGGGTGGAGGGAAACGGTCTTGTCTCCTCTATGTATAAATGCCCTTAATCAAGGAGCTGGGGGTGTGGTACATTGCTCAGGAAGGTGGGATGACAGTCTAAAATTGCACAAAGGAATGAGGTGAATTTTTGGATAGAGTTTGCTTTGATTATTGCAGAAGGTATCTAGTGCAGGTAGAGGCGTCAAGAACTGCTCCCTCCAAAACACTACTCCATAATTTTGTGAGTTTGAGTGTGGCATCTCCCAGTTTTTGGAGAGAGAGAAGACTGTTTGGTCATATATACTGTGTAGAGTGTTCAGGGTTCTTGAATTGTGGGTACAAGACCTTTGAATGGATGGTGCAGTTAATCAAAATATTTTGAACTAAGTGAAGGGCTGATAGTGGTAAAGGCATTCAAGAAACCTTGATTCAAGTTTTGACTTCTTCAGTTTTTGATCTGTAACAATGATGTTGGTTACATTTGTTCTTTGATTTGTCACCATTGTTAATTTTTGTAGTGTAAATGTGTTTCTGGGCCATACTGTTCTCTGGTGTGTACCTTGTTCATGGTGTATTTTTCTAATTTTTTTCCTGTTGTAGAATTTTCGCTTTAATACCTGATTTTCCAAGTTAGATGCTTATACCTACTGCAGCTGTGTGGGTTGTGCAACTTCAATTAGCATGTGTTAAGTGACTGAATTCTGAGAGGACAAGTATGTTTCTGATGGAGCTTTCTTTTGGGTCCAAAAAAACCGCTGTGCAATCAAAGTTCAGTTCAAGGACTCCGGACTTACATGTTCTGTCGATCTCACTCCTGTGTTTTAAGCTGAGTTGTCTGCCCAACTTCTTTTTCAGACAGAAGTACATGTTCCCTTCTGCTTCCTACGCTGTTTGGCAGTTGCCTTTCTTAGCTGATTATTTTTGGCCAGAAGTGGATTTTTAAACTGTTTCCAGCTGCATTTGCAAGGACTTTTCCATTAGCTAGCTTTTGCATTCCTATATCCATCATGTATAACTAACTATTTTTCAGACTAAGATGATTGTGAAAATTAATGTTCCTGTCTGAAATGGCTGTAAATTAGCCAAGAAACCCGCCCCAACAGAATTCCCAAGTAGTAAAAGTATGGTGTGTCCTGTGTGGTGGGCTGTGCATTGGGCAGGTTTTCTGTCCCTCCAGCCCTGGCCCTGGCAGAAGAGGAATGTGCAGCATTGCAGTTTTGCCTTGCCACTGTACTGGCTTCTGGATTCTGTAGCAAGGCAACTGCTGCCAATGGTGGGAGGGCCCCTGAGTAGCTGTTCAGGGGGCTCTGGGGACCAGAGGGTCTGGTTCAAGCTTTGCTGCTTTGTTGAACATACTCGGGAATCAAGTAATTGACGGGGCCAGGTAGTTAAACCTTCTCTCTCTGAAAGAGTTACAAGTTGTGTACAAAGCCTTTTGTAACATTTAAATGACTGTGTTTTAGATTATTCTGGAACACTTAAAAAACAGTTTCATGCCTAGTGTTCTAATTTGTTGGGTTTTTTGGGTTTTTTTTTTTTGGTAGTGGTTTGTTTCATTTTGTTTTTTGCTATGGTTGATAATGAAAAATGGAAATTGTCTCTTTCCACAGAAGGCATTTGAAGTGTCAGCCTTGCCAGCCTTCTCACCTAGTCCGGATTTACATACAAGGTCTTGATGTGCATATAAAAATTTAGTCTTGAATGTGCCAGTGATTCTAGGATCAGCAGCTTTTTGTTTTTTGGTTGGAGTTTTTTTTTTTCATTCTAGTAAATTCTGTAAAAACTGAGTTGTGCTAACAGTGAGATTTTTGGTTTTGGTTTTTTGCTTTTTAGTTGCAACTATAGTTGTGATCAAGTAGGATTGAACGATACTTGTGTTGTTTTGGGCATAGCTTAAGCTAACAGCAGGAAACACTCCTAAGTCAGAGCAGTTCCTCTTTGAGTTCTGCCAGTTTGAGGCTAAAGACATGGATGAGGCTGCAAGACTGATGTCCTTTCCAAATCTACCAGTGCTGAGGCTGTTGCCTCCTCAGATGTCATGACAGTGCTGCTCTGTGATGGCTTCTGACCCATTTTCAGTTACTCACCTGGGTTGCCTTGCCCAGCACAAAACCCAAACCTGTCTGACTATGTTTGGCAGGAGTTCACAAGGCCTTGTTCAACAGATCTGTGTGAGGGCAATTAAGTTTTTGCTTTAGCTTAGGGACCCTTGAACACTACGCC